GGAATGTGGACAGGAGAGTGCGTACCACTTCGCTGTGCTACTTCGTAAAATGGTTTTAGCAGTTTTATTATGGGTGTTCCTTAGCTGTAGAAGCTTCAAACAAACAAGCAGAAAGAAAATTTATAGCTATCGGGTTGCTGCCAGAGTGGTTGGTTTGTTTGTTTGTTTATTTTCAGTTTTAATCATCTGCTACCAATAAATTCCACTGCCCTTGTGGTAACTTCTCACATTAACATTGATATATTATGGGTGTTTTAAAACAGACAATAAAAATATTGCACTCACTAATTAAAGCAATTCATGTATTCAACCAGGCACTGCCTGAAAGAGTTGTGGTTTTCTAATTGTTAGGTGCCTTGAGCTATATACCTGTAATAAATTCTTAATTGAACTTTGCATTATGGCCAGTGTGATTTGAAATATTCATAGCTGCTTTACTTTGTTTTGTTTCCTCCAGCTCTTCATTGAGAAGTGTATCAACTGGATCTTCAAGACCTTCCAAAGTGTGTTTGGTGTGTGGAGATGAGGCATCTGGATGTCATTATGGGGTGGTCACCTGTGGCAGCTGTAAAGTCTTCTTCAAGAGAGCAGTAGAAGGTAAGAAAACACAAAACGTCGACAGGTTTGTATTTTTCAAGAGAAACACACACACGAACATATATGTTTTCCGATGTGTGTTTTGCTGTTGATAAAATTGCGTTGTTAATCTGAAGAGAAAAAAAAAAAAAAGTTGAACGAACTCCAGTTGGGTGGGGTGTGATTTATGTAGACTATGCCAGGGTGTTTTGCAGTGTACATCTTTTAAAGGATACATTGTTTTACTTCATGCCAGTGCTGAATCAGGCTTCTTTTCCACCCCTTGAAGTGGATTTTTGTGATTTCTAATGGACAGGGATGCAGTTGATATAAACATTGTCCTGCTTCTCCTGTACTGGAGGATGAATACAGTTGTCTCATCATACTTCGGTGGCCTTATATGGCAGCACACTTCACTCAGGTCAGTTATCTCCCTGTGGGTACCTCCAGGGCTTTCAACTGCCTAATGCATCTGTTTCATCTTTCAGCAAAAGTGGCTTTACAGTGCTATGGTAGATTGGTGAGGAAGCAGGAATTATCATGGTGCTTTTCTTAGAGATAGTTTTCTTCAATAAGGACTGAGCATCACAATAGAAGGAAGGTAGTATCCGAGTGTTTCACATGGGTATTCCATCTCTGTGTTTTGGGTTGTTAAGGTAAAAGAAAATGTTTGACCTTTACAGACTTTTTAAGCAACTTCTTCGAGGAATAAAAATAAAGTTTTTAATACTGAATAAAGAGTAAGAGTTCATGATATGCAAAACACAGAAATACTGTATAGTCTTTGCTACGAAGTAGAAATTCTTACAACCACGGATGAAGTGGGTGATATCTGCTTACTGATATATTGTCATGAAGGAAAAAACCAGGCTTTTAATATGGTGCACTCTTGTGCACTGGGAAGAATAAGGCGATGTGCAATGTGATTAATTTCTTCTGTAACCATTAAATCCACTGCTGATGGCAATAAGGATTTAGCTCTCTGTGAAATAGACCTGGAGGGCTTTTGCGTCATTGAAGTCAAGACCTCATGTAATATCTCTCTATCAGTCTGTTTATCTATCAATCAATCATCAAAAGTGTCAATCTAATTGAAATGAACTTCCCAAAGCTACATGGACGTGGAAAAGGTTTCTCCCTTCTGAAAGCATTTTCTCTTACTGTTGTGCAGTAGCTGACCTTGATGTCTTTGTTCCCTAACTTCTTCCTTGAATTTTTAGTCACTTACTGTAGCACATGAACTGGAAAACCGTGATTATTTTCACTGTCTGATTATGTTAATTCCATGTGCTTCTATGCCACGTCATGGATGGGTCTTCGGACATCTGTGTCTAAGCTGGCCTCTGGGTCAGGAGGATGTTGTTTTTTTTTTGTTACAGTGGTGAGGTTCTTCATACACCTGCTCAAACCAGGACACGTGCAAAATGATGGCACCTTTTGTTACCTTCCTCCTTCCTTTCCTGCCTCCCAGGAAAGCTTCCTCTCCAGTCTTGAATCACTGTAATTTCAAGGTACTATGTAGCTTCATTTGACGTGTCCCTCTCTTTTGATGTCCTTTCTGACATGATCAGATAGATATCCATCTCCAGCTTTACAGGAATTAATGAAAAATTACCAAAGATTCCATTTAGGAGTTAATAAAGTAGCAAGACTACATTTTTAAGCCTCAGAAGCCAAAATGGTTAGGAAGGGATTACTCTGTAAACAGGCATAGAAATAACTTTTAACTAGTTTTTAGTAATATATCGTAATTACTGGAAGTTTGGGTTGAGCAAAAAAACTTAAAATCCCTGTCATCCCTAAAAATTGAAGATGTTAATTTTAAATTAGCTTACAATATGTTTTTTTAGAATTATTATAGTAATGTACATGTTCCTGCCAGGGATATGTGAACTCTGTCTGGCCTTCTGCTTGGTATTCACATGACTGAGCTCTTGATGCTATCAGTAGTATTGTTGTTATGCAAACACTGAAAATCTGGCTTGTGTTTTTATGTATATATTTGTGTGTGTCTGTATATACATACACACCTAAAAGTACATTGTAGGGAATTAACCAGAAAAGGGCATAGCAAAAACATATGCATCTTGCCTCCAAACATCCCCAAACTGTCAATGTGAATAAAAATCTGGGTAGGTAGTTTTGTAGCAAAAAAACTTTTTGTAAGAGTCATAAATTTTTCAGTAAGGTGGCTGACCAATAAAATAACCCATCCTGAGGTTTCTAATTTAAATGAAATATTTGTAGTAATTACTCAGTATCATATGTTCATAAGGATGACTTTAAAAGTACAATAGTTCAGTGCATGGCCTAAAAAAAAACCAAATCAAAGTGGAAGAACTACCTTAAATGTAGATGCTTGGGCATACCTGTCTCAGTGGTGAACTAAAGCTGTGTTCTTCACCTAAGTGTTTGCATTCTTGTCTTTATTATGAAGAAAACAGTGCAACTTCCTTTGTGAACACAGAAACAACTGAGGGAATTTGTAAGTATAGAGGCTGACTTACTTAAGTTGCAAATCTGACAGATTATAGTAAAAGAATGAAAGATACTCCTCCAGTTTCATTCACCATTTCCTTGAAATCGTGTATGGACTTTTAAAATATTTGTGATTTTCTTTCTAGTCATATTTTACATATTTTATGTATGTGTGCACGCAAACACATGATTCTTTCTTGATCCGCTAAACTTTCTTCAGTAGGAAGTGGCACAAGAGATTATATTCTTTCGAAAGTAGTTTCTTCTTCTGATTGCTGTTAAGTACGGTGGCTACAGCTAGTGGCCGTTTCCTAGAACCACAGAAGTGGTTGAAGCTGGAAGGGACCTCTGGAGATCATCTGGTCCAACCTCCCCTGCTTAAGCAGAGGCACTTAGATGTGCAGGACCATGTCCAGACGGCTTTTGAATATCTCAAGGGGTGGGAGACTCCACAGCTTGTCTGGGCAACCTCTGCCAACGAGCGATCATCCTCATGGTAAAATCGTGCTTCCTGGCATTCAGACAGACCCTCCCGTGTTTCAGTTTGTGCCCTCTCTGAACAGAGCAACTCTTCCGCTTGAAGGAGAAGAGGCTTTTTGGTCGTTAGTTCCTACTGATTAAATGACAGTTTTGTTTAATTTAAACAAGTTACATACTGGTTTTCCTTCAGAAGATCCAGTGGGATGGAAATCATGGGAGAGAGCAGCCAGTGTTCAGGCAGAAGGACAAGAACAAGTGATCCAGTTGAAGATGCCTCTGCCAATGGCAGGGATTTGGACTAGATGACCTTTAGAGGTCTTTTCCATCTCAAACCATTCTATGATTCTATGAAGTGTGGGAGACAAATTGTGTTAAAAAAACCCATGGAAACTGAGAGAAGGGGGATTTGGAAACAAGGGACTGCGGCACACGGGGTCTCGGCTAGAATTGCTAATGTTGTCAGCCTGCCTTGAACATCTTTGGAGTGCCAGTGCTTTTGTACTCCTGAAATATTACAAAACAGAGGGATTATGACAGAAAACAACTGCACTGAAATTTAAAAACGAGAAAGTATAGAATCATAGAATCAGATTCATAGAATGGCCTAGGCTGGAAGGGACCTTAGAGATCATCTAGTCCAACCTCCCTGTCATGGGCAGGGACGCCACCTCTCGACCAGACCTGGCAACACATGGGGACTGAGTGGGAATCGAACTCGCGACCTCGGTGTTGATCCTTGTTACCAGCACCGCGCTCAAACCACTGAGCTAACCGGCACCAACAAGGAGGCTAAAGCTTGCATTTCTGATTATAAATCTGGTAATTGTATTCCCAGTGAATCTTATTTTGGAGACTTGCAGGAAACGTCTAATGAATTTATGAGAGGGAGAGGTGTATGCCAAAAAAAAGTATTAAAATGGGTTTATTGGTGAAATTTCAAAAGTAATCTCAGATGAAATTCCTAACAAGGATGTCAATTATCAAAGTGCAAAATTTTCCTGTCAAGTAAGCATGAACTGTTTTGCTGACTGACATGATGAACAAGAGTCTGGTATGAAGAAATGTGATTGTGTCATTAATATAAATTTGATCTGCCTTGCAAACACTAAGAACAAAACACCATAAAACTGTTGATAAATGGTGTCACCACAAAAATTAGGACATTTGTATTTATAATACAGTTTTACCTAGGATAGCTGTATTGTTTGATTTTCTAAATTACAGATATGTCCGATCATAATGTTATCTAATATGATTAAGAGTCATATTTTGAAAATACACTATTCTATGAGGGAAGCTAAAGCACCTGGCCAGTTTTGTCTTCTCTTTTTCCACTGAACCATCTTTCTCGAAGGAGAGTAACAGGCTTGAAGTCAGAAATCACAGCTGTTCTTGCCTGTGCTTTGCATTTTTAGGCTTCATTTGTTCAAGTTCCAGACAAGTATGAGGTAATCTGTCCTAAATCAAAATTTATATCACTTCTTAAGTTGCTAAAGTTAATCTTTCATTCTTCCTTTGGCTTGAATGTAAGAAAAAAGACATTTTTTTCTCTCCAAATGGTGCTAAAGACTACAGCAAAAATGACCAACTTAGAGTTATTTTGCGTATTTGCTGACAGATTTTTGGCTTCTTAAAATGGAAGAATTAATAAATTATATTGTATTAGTTAGAGGGAAATTTGTCCTTTTTTTTTAAATACCAAGATGTGATGATCAATAAATTTCAGGCTTTGGTGTTGATTGCTGCTCCAGGAGGTTCACTTGAAAGCTAGTTTGGCTATTTTAAGTCAGAAACAGATCTCTCTTCTGAAGTAGAAACACAGTCACAGCAACAGGAATTCCTAGGGTTGCATTTCTTTTTCACCTGCGTATTTGCTATTCGCCTATCGAAAGTAGGGGGAGACTGGCTGAAGGAAATTTTTCAAAGTCTAATCTGATGCCGTCTAATTTAAATGACATCTCCTGGATATAGTGAATGTGCTGTACACCTCAGTGAGCAGCCTGGTAACGAAGAAATCCTACCTCTGCTGCACGTTTGAGCAGCAGGTTATCCAAGACTTCACT